AAAACAACCATTTTATTAAAATAAATAAATAAAAAACAATTGGTGAATAAATATGTACATAAATTTACCATAAAAAAATTAAACAGATTTTTATTTTGGATATTATTCACAGTTTGGGGCTGTTTTTAAAAAAATTCTTATTATATATATATTTTTACAGTTAATGTATAAATCAATAGTTTTGTGATTTTTCTGGTTATTATTAATGAAATTAATTAATTTAACCAAACAGGGAAAATCTTTAAAGTAACACTATATTATTATTTTAAAAGCTGTTAATAAAGATGTTTCGTGGCGTCCCCGATGATAGAAGCTGCTGCTGCTGCTGCGTTTCCCTTCAGAGGATCAATCCTCTGTCCATCTTAAACCTCACGTCGTGCTTCACGGTCCGTGTTTCTGTCCTGCAGGTTCTCTCGGGTTTCCTTCACCCAACACGAGTCAAATGACCGTGACCACCAGCTGGACCACCGGTAAGCACCACAGCTTTGACTTCATCAGAACGTCTCTTTAAGTGAAACCTGCCGTCAGTCTGGACTCGTCTGTTCGTCTGTCAGTCCCAGCAGGACGGACGCCCGACGCCGAAGACTCGTACCTGTTGGGGCTCCTCGCCAGCACCTCGGTGTCTCTGCTGCTGCTGGTGTTCCTCATCACCAACACCGTGCTGTGCTGCCACTACCGGAGGAGACACGGTCGGTTCTGGTTCAGCCAGCTCAGAATGCTCTGACTGTAAACCACATCTGCCAATACTGGAAAAAACAAACAGACATGTATATAAAGGACTGAAGCATGGGGGGAAAAATGTTTTCAGACTTTCTCAGGTTGAAAAATAATGAAAATGCAAATTATATCTATAATTTATTTAAGTTGTCAGTCTGCTCCATGACCTAGACTTTATTTATAAGTGAAAAACATTTCTTAAGCAGTTTCCTGTTCTTGTTAAAATCCAGATAATAACTCGTAAAATTACAGAAAAAAATATTAGTTTACATTTTAACCCTAAAAAAGAAAAAACAAATATAATGTCCATGTCAAAAATCAGTATCTTCCTAAATGTGAATTCTCTTTTACAACATGATACAACAATTACACTATTTGTTTTTACTGTATTTGACTCATGAAAACATATTTTCCATCATTTGAAGGAAACATCATGTTTATTAAGGAATGAAAAATAAATAACATTTCTTTTACAGTTTTTTTTTTTTGATAAGGTTCTGTTTTAACGGATCAGAAACATTTACGCAAAAGCAGCAACGTGTGGAAAGTTGTAAATAGATGAAATATATTTTAGAAACCGAGGAGGGAAACTATTGTAAAAGTCATTAATTAGCATCATTGTTAGCTTCAGATTTTACAGCTTTTGCACGAATTTAGTAAAAACAGGAAACTGCTGCTAGAATTTCCCTGTTGTTGTGTTTTTTTTTTTTTTTTTTGCAGTGATTCATTGTATTTAAAGAGCTTTTGGCCCTGAATCCGTCGTCTGATTTTAAGCTGCAACGCTCTCGTTTCCCTTGTGCTCAGCTTTCTTGGTGCAGCAGACTCGCTCCAACCATCGACCTTCCTCCGAGCAGCGTCACAACAACTACCAGGAAACCGTCAGTCTGGTCAAAGTCACCGCCAACGCTGCGCCGGCCGACGGTCAGTGGCTGCAGCTCTTTAAACCTTCTCATCATTTCTGCCCTTCTCTTTCCTCGTATCCTGCATTTGAATGTTTTGATTCTCCTGCACAGTGCTGGCAAACTTGCAGAAAGCATTTCTCTTTTGTGTGTTTGTCTCAAAAAGTCGCCTCCGCCCCTCGACCCCTGTGGACGCAGCTTAGTAGCGTCGACAGCACGTCAGTAGATACAGACTATGAGCAGTTTGACCCGAGCACTGACCCGTCTGTCGGTTTATCCACCTTCCGCAGTGAGACACCTTCTTTTTCTTCTCCTCAGTTCGCCGCCGTCACTTCTTTGCATGCTGCGGTTGAAGCTGCTGCTCGTGTGCAGATCGATGCCGTTTGCAGTGGAGCTCTGCAGGATGCGATTGTTTTTTGTGATTAACAAACTGCGGCGTTGTCGTGTCGTTTGTCGCATCCAGATTCTCAGCGCTACAGAACCGACATCAACCCTCTGATGAGGCCCTCGGGACTCGACAGACTCTGCGAGGAGGGTGAGTCACCGTCGGTTTGCAGAGACGCTCGGCTTTGCAGTTTGCAGTTTGCAGCATCACTCCCGTCGTGCACGACTGCAGCAGCAGCAGCAACAAGAGGAGCTCTGAGTTTCACGGGTTTGGTTTTATTCTCTCACAAACAACCTGCACGTGAAGACAAAGGAGTTCAACCAGAGTGGAAAGAAAAGTACAAAAAAACAGTAAAATCGTACAAACTGATTTATATGAAGCTTATAAATTTCAAATATTAAATGTTATGATGCTAATAATTGCTCTAACTTCATATTATGTGTAATTTAAACTCAAATTTCTGCATCGTGAGACTTTAAACTGAATTCAAGTTGACTTTTCTTCACTTTTAGTTCAAGTTTTTAAGTCTCCTCTATTTTAACACAACAATTTCGGACTAGTTATTAAAACACATGCAATTAAATTATAAAAATAAGCTGATTCCCTTCAATTATTTTATTTTGTTGGTTGAACACACCTGCATTTAAAGTTTTCATAACCCAAAAACACTGGTGCATTATTTATTTTGTTGTTGTTGTTGAAGCCAAACAGCTAAAACAAAACAAACACCAACTTTTCCTTGTTCTACTTATTGAAGTACAAAGTTTGTCCACCTGGTTTTGATTTAAATCAGATTCCAATAATCTGTTTAATATCTAAAATATCATTTGTTTTCTGGTATATTAAAATCATGGACATGCAGAAGCAGCATATGCATGAAATCACAACCGTTTGTCTGTTTGATGCTCAAACGTTTGCTGATAGTTTGAATATTTGTGCATTTAAACACAAGACTTGCTGCTGAATGGTGAAACCTTTTAGGAGAGTTTAACTATTTCAGTTATTTAAAATGTCTTGAAATGGGTCCAAATTAAGCACAATATCTTTAATTTCCTTTAAAAAAAAAAAAAAATGGATAAAATCTCTGTCCCTAATTTTGATATTTCTACATTTTATTTTTCCTGTTTTTAATAATTCTTTATCTTTAATTTCATGTTGTTGAATTTTATTTTCCCATTTTAATTATTCTTTGTCTTTAATTTCATATTTCTGCGTTGTATTTTTCTAGTTTTTAGTATTTTTTCGTCCTGAATTTAATTTTATAGATTTTATTTTTCAGTATTTTTGTGTTTTAATTTTATATTTCTATTATTTTTCTTTGCTTTTTTAAAAAAAATTTGTTTGCCTTTAATTTTATATATTTAATTTTATATTTCTATTATTTTTCTTTGCTTTTTTAAAAAAAATTTGTTTGCCTTTAATTTTATATACCTACATTTTATTTATTCAGTTTTAATTTTTTTTTCTTTATTTCATGTCTTTAATTTCATATTTCTCCATTTATTTTTTTTTCTGTTCTTAATGGTCTGTCTTTAATTTTCTATCTCTACATTTTATTTTTAACAGTTTTTAATAATTCTTTGTCTTTAACTTTACATCTCTGCGTGTAATTTCTTCAGGCCCTGGAACCAAAGCCGAGCCGCCGGCAGCTTTTACGGGTTATAACGGCGCTGCTGTAAATCCTCAGTACGCCCGAGTGTCGAAGATCTCGGCGGACTCGTTTGACTCGTCGAGCACCTCGTCAGGAGAGTGTTACGAGAACGTGACCAGCGGCTACACCAACGTTAACCCCGGTCAGTCCAGTTCAGTCGTCATCTGGAGCATCAGCTCAACATGTTGATAGATTCAGATCAATACGTCTCAAACGTCTGTCGAATTAAAGGGAAAACTCTTGACCGGCAAAGTGAAGAGATCCATTCTTTCTTTTTTTTTTTTCTTTTTAAACAGTAATGCTATAAAAAAAGTTTTTTTTTTTTTTTTACTGTTTTTCTTTTTTTTTATTTTCTTTTTTTAGCATTTTACTGTGTGTGTTTTTTTTGTTTTCTTTTACTGTTTTACAGATTTTCCCAGTTTTGTTATGTTACAGATAACGTCTATTAAAATCACAGAAAAGAGGTTTTAATTTACAGATTAACTTTAAATAAAAAATGTAGTTTTATGGGAACCGTACG